GAGTCCCACTCAATCTCCACTCCTCTTGGGAGCCCAAGTCCTTCCTAAAGATATAGCTCCATTTCCTAACTTGGCATCCCCTTTAGGAAAACCCCTTTGGGATGTAGCAGGGCAGACACTGCACTGAATCTTTAGAGCAATCCCTCTGAGGAATGATGCTGTTTAGTACCTCCCAAAAGTTCCCCCAATAGTTTCATTCTTCCCCCTATTTCCTCCAATACTCTGACTTTGAAAGGCTGGTGAGTGTAGAGTTAGGCTAAGCCACTGAAGTTCAAATGGGTTTGGGGAAACCCTGGGGAATTGGACTTCTGCCCCCAAAGCCTGGTCAGTAGAGATCCCACCTCCATAGTCAAAGGAGTTGGGGAACCCCAGTTCTAGGTTTCTAGGGGACAGCTGCCCTGATCAACCCTCAAACAGAAAGGCCAGGATTCAGCCATACCATAATGGACCCCAGGGGCATCCCGAAGGCATTTCCCAAGTGGAAGAAAATCCTTGCCAATCCATCATCAAAAGGACTTGCAGAAGGAACCAAGATGGCGGCATAGGTAAACACCTGAACTTGCTGCCTCGCACAACCACATCAAAAATACAACTAAGAGACAAAGCAGATATCATCCAGAACCATGGGAAGGCTGGCTGAATGGAAGTTCAACAACTACAGGTAAAGAGAAAAGCACATCTAGACTGGTAGGAGGTGCAGAGGTGCGGAATAGTGGAGGTATAGAGACGCCTGAAATGGGCTGGCAACAGGGTACGCTGTGGTCTTCAATCGGAAGGGAGATACAAACTCCTTACTGCTTTGAACTCCAGTTCCGGGCGAGTCTCTGGGGACCCAGACTCATACAGGGAGAAACTGGACTGTATGGCTTCGGGCCGGAACACGAGGGCGGCTTTCTCTCAGAGGTGCTCGCTGTTCATTGTTCATGCACGGGACCGCCATACACAGAGACCCAGGGACCTATCCGAAGCAGGGCCAACGGGCAACCATTGCTGTTTGCACTGCCCCATGATTCCCTGAGACCACACCCAAGCTGTGCACAGAGGCTTTTGCATATGAATGGCCTGGTCCTTTGCAATCTAAAACCTAACAAACTGCAGCTGGGTCAAGGAACCCCAGAGCTTCCAAAAGAAGGCCTAAGGCTCATCAGCAGCCTGAAATTCTTCACAGCTGTGCCTCATCTGGGCACCTCCAAACCCCAAACAAAAAGGAGGAATCTGCAGATCTCTCTGTAGCTCCTGCTGGGTGGCCTCAGGCAGTGGCTGATTTTGCACCTCCTTAGAGATCCAAGAGCCAGTGTACCCAGTGGTCAGAGTTAGACCATCCAGATTACAACTATTCACATCCATAAGAGACACATTCAGGGGGCAGACTCAGTGAGCACCAAAGCCCCACTGAAGCAAGTCCTACCCAATAAGGGTGTCAACAGAAGTTCTCCCTATTGTAGACACAACTGGTCCTCACAGCCAATTGGCCTGGAGGTCAATTCTTCCCCGTGATACCAACAGCAATCAAGGATTAACTACAACAAGACTGTGCATACAGCCCACAAAGGGGTGCTCCAAGAGTGTCCACCTTAGGTAATTAGGGAGGCTGAGCCACTGGGCCCTATAGGATACCTAGCACACAAAGCCACTCTATCAACACAGGGAAGCAGCCAAAATGCGGAGACAAAGAAACAGGTCACAAATGAAAGAAATGGAGGAAAGCAAACTACTGGATATAGAGTTCAAAACCACACTTATAAGGTTTTTCAAGAATCTTCTAGTAACCTCCAAGAAATATAGTGAGACCCTTAAGAATATAAAAAAGGACCAAAAATAGAAATTAAGCATACACTGACTGAAATAAAGAATAATATACAGAGATCCAATAGCAGACTAGAGGATCCCAAAAATCAAGTCAAAGATTTGAAATATGAAGAAGCAAAAAACACCCAACTGGAAAAGAAAAAAAAAAATCAAAAATATCAAGATAGTGCAAGGAGCCTCTGGGACAACTTCAAGCATACCAACATCCGAGTTATAGGGGTGCCAGAAGAAGAGAAAGAGCAAGATATTGAAAACCTATTTGAAGAAATAATGACAGAAAACTTCCCCTACCTGGTGAATCAAACAGACTTGCAAGTCCAGGAAGCACAGAGAAACCCAAACAAAAGGAATCCAAAGAGGACCACAGCAAGACTCATCATAATTAAAATGCCAAGAGCAAAGGACAAAGAGAGAATCTTAAAAGCAGCAAGAGAAAAACAGTCAGTTACCTACAAGGGAGTACCCATACGACTGTCAGCTGATTTCTCAACAGAAACTATGCAGGCCAGCAGGGAGTGGCAAGAAATATTCAAAGTGATGAATAGCAAGCACCTACAACCAAGATTACTCTACTCAGCAAAGCTATCATTTAGAATTGAAGGTCAGATAAAGAGCTTCACAGATAAGAACAAGCTAAATGAGTTCATCACTGCCAAACCAGTATTATATGAAATGTTGAAAGGTATTCTTTAAGAAGAGGATGAAGGAGAAAAAGGTAAAGATAAAAAATTATGAACAAATACATATCTATCAACAAGTGAATCTAAAAATCAAGTGAATAAAAAATCTGACAAACAGAATAAACTGGTGAATAGAATAGATTCAGGGGCATAGAAAGGGAGTGGACTGACAATTCTCGGGGGGAAAGGGGTGTGGGGGGTGCGGGAAGAGACTGGACAAAAATTGTGCACCTATGGATGAGGACAGTGGGGGGAGGGACGGTAAGGGCCAGGGGTGGGGTGGGAACCAGGTGCAGGGGAGCTATGGGGGGAAAAAGAGGAACAACTGTAATAATCTGAACAATAAAGATTTATTTAAAATAAATAAATAAATAAAAGAAATACCAGTGGCCCGGTGCATGAAATTCGTGCACGGAGGGGATGTGTTTCCTCAGCCCAGCCTGCACCCTCTCGCAATCCGGGACCCATGGGGGGGATGTCCAACTGCTGGTTTAGGCCCTGTGAAATCTGGCCTAAACCTGGTTTAGGCCCTGTGAAATCTGGCCTAAACCAGCAGTCAGACATCCCTCTTGCAATCTGGGACTGCTGCCTCCTAACTGCTCAACTGCCTGCCTTCCTGATAGGCCCTAACTGCCTCTGCCTGCCTGCCTGATCACCCCTAACTGCCCTCTCCTGCTGGCCTGATTTCGCCCCCAACTGCCCTCCCCTGCAGGCCCGGTTGCTCCCAGCTGCCCTCCTCTGCCAGCCTGATTGTGCCCACAACAGCTCTCCCCTGCCAGCCTGATCTTGCCCCCAACTGCCCTCCTCTGCTGGCCAATTTGGTTCTGATTGTTTGGTTTCTATGCCAGTCAGTGTCAAAAGCTCTGCCTCCCAGACAGCCATTGGTTCTTCACAGCACCCACATTTGGTTCTGATTGGTCAGTTCCTATGTCAATCACCGTCAAACGCTCCGCCTCCTAGGCAGCCGTTCGCTCCTCATAGCACTGAGATTCTGTTCTGATTGGTCGGTTCTTACGCCAGTCAGCATCTCTGGGCCTATCAACGGGCCTGATCAGAAAGGCAGGGCAGATCAGCAGCTCCTGTGGAGGCCTGGAGAGAAATGGAGGCGTGGCTGCTGCCAGACTAAGAGAGAAAGAGAGATGCAAATGCTGATAAAAAGCTGCCACAGAGGCAAGGGATCATTCTCTGCTTCTCTCTTCAGGCCTCTCTCTGACTCTAATTCGCAGCCTCCTCAGCAGTCAGTGCTGGGGCACCCCAGTGCTGACTGCAGGACTGACTTACGGTTGGTGGAGACTGTCGTGACCTGTTATGACCCAGGGTTTTTTTTATATTTACTCTAAAAAAAAAAAATCTTCCTGCAGTTTCACAGAATACTTACATTTACTACTGAATTCACTGAAATTGCCTATTATATCACATTTTTTAAAAATGCTGGTCTCACCCACTAGATTGATTTTATGACTCACTAATGGGTCACAGCCTGCAACTTGGAAAACAGTGGTCAAAGGAGTAACAAACATAAAAATAAAATTTTTGAAGACAAAAGATATGTGTATTTCTGCAATAGGGATATACCTATTGAGGTTCATGGACATCATACCCTTGGCTACAACATCCTCAGCCCCAATGTATTTGATGGAATATTGCCAACAAGGCATTCTTTTAAAAATAACCTGCTCAGTTAGATATTTAATGAACACCTGCCATATTCTGGCCCCTGATCTGGCTCTGTGAATACAGTAATAATCAAAGTCTAAACCCTTGTGCTGTGACATTCTGGTTGGGGAAGATAAACAAAATCAAATAAATAGGTAAATATATAGTGATCAGATGGTGGTAAGTGCTACAGAAGGGTTTTTTTTTCCAGATCCTCCTTTTCTAGTTATGTTCACACACCTCCCTCCCTTGCTCTCTCCTGGAAGGCAGTTTTTTAAATTTTTTTTATTTACTGATACCTTCAGTCCGAAGACTGAGAAGGATGGGGCCAGTAGTGAGCTCAATGAAAAGGTGACTATATCTTTTGTTATGTATTTGTTTCCTAAGTGGTTATGCAGAGATCAATATGCTTTTCTAACTTCTAAATTCTAAGAGAGTAATGGTAATAATTATCTTTGGATCTTGCAAATGTAATGAGTGGGATCAATTTACCAAACCAAGCTTTTAGTAAATTTCGGGCGTCAGTAGCATCCAGGCCTTTTTGTTCCCAAGGGCTGGTGTTCCTACATGTCCCAGTTCCTTCCATATTGGACCCCCATCTACTTATCTCCTGATTGGTATCCTGCCCTGGATGACAGGAATTAACAGTGAGAATTCTGAAGGTGTTAGAAGTGTGATCACATCAGGTCAAGGCTAGAAACTACTCAGTGGATGCATTACGCCAGGGGTTGGCAATTTTTGTTTTCTGTAAGGGGCTAGTGAAGATTTTCAGCTCTGTGGGCTATATCGTCTCTGTCACTACTCAACTCTGCCGCTACAACCCTAACCACCATAGACAATATGTAACAAGTCGCATGGCTGTGTTCCAATAAAACTTTATTACAAAAACAGGCAGCAGGCTGACCCCTTCTTAAGGCTGATGGAGACATTTCCTGTTGAGAACACTTGGGGCTTACATTTGAAATAGGCTGAGGAGATGGGAAGGGAGAGGAAAGAAAAAGGCTCAGAAAGAAGGCCTCACAGATAACAAAGAGCCAGTTTGGGCAAAGAGCAATGTACATGCAAGAAGGTGGCAAGCGGCTGAAATTTAACTAGGCAAAAACAAGTACATATACAAGCCTGTGCAAACTGCTTTTCATTGTTTCATCTTTTACTTAAATATCACACTATTTAAAAAATGTTTAAAATATTTAAAAAGTCATTTTCTATTACAATCACAAACTTCTTCCTTGTATCAAAAGTTGTGCCACTATCTTGGTTACTTGTGGATTCACCAAGCAGTCCAGTAAGTCATCTGTAGAAATGAATGTTTGGGAAGGGGCCATAGTACTATTTGAAGCAACCTGTTCCACAATTTCATTCTCACGTCCGCTCATCATTCGTTGCTTCTTGGTACAGTGCAATTTGTCAAAGTGCTCTCCAGCTTTGCCAACAAAGTCTTTACCATCATTTTTAAACATGCCTCCTGTTTCTGAGGGTGGATCTTCAGAACTCGGTAGTACGGGAACCAGATCAGGGCCAAAGGGACATGCTGCCTGCTCTCCTACTGTTCCCGAGGTTAAGTTCTGGCTATCTGTTTGTTCTACCTCCATGAGGTTGTTGTGCATGTTGAATTCTTCCTTTTTCATGTGCTCTCCGTTTGTTCTGAGTGCTTGGATTTCTGTCTTAGATGTTCTGTAATGATCAAAAAAGGCAGAAACAGCTCTATTTAAGTAGCGACAATTGACTTCATGGGACGTTTCCTCAACCTGAGGAAAAAGAGAAATCTTTTAAGTGGTTCCATAAATTAGAAAATAAACCTAGTCAGGGTTGATTTATTACAGGATACCAACTGCCATGATGGAAACCAGGAGCGGCCTACCTCCGTTGGGTTTAACCAAGCCCTGGTGCTGTGTGGGTCCTCCGCAGTTTTCAGGGCGCACACAAGCATGCGGGCGATTGCCTCTTCTACCCGAGCCTGGTGGTCCTCTTCCTAAGTTGAGATAAAAACATCATTTTTCACTTGTCTCTCTGACTCATGGCTTACAACAGAGACTTGAGTCCCTTAATTGTGTGTTCTGTCCTCATCAACATAAGCTTTGTTACAGAAGGAAAGGCAGACCACAGTTTTTTATGTGTTCACTATCATCTGACATCTAGAAGAGCTGTGGAATAGTTCACTAACCAAACTTAAGTATATATCCTGTCTATAAGGCATAGGCCTTGAGTATGAACTGCCCTCTGATGTTTTTCCAATCTTTTCCATTCTCTGACATGTCTCAAGAGAAAAAGAAAAAGTGTTACATATGGAGGAATAATCCCTATAGAGGTTGATATGCTAATTGTTTGAGGAATGGGAGAAAATTTCATATAAACTTGCTTAGCAACAAGAATATAAATATGTGAAGACACAATAAATATAAACTTTAGCATTAATGAAAAATTGTATTAAGATTAACAACTTCCGTTCCTCAAACTCATAAAAGAAAAAACAAACCAGATGCCTGTAACATTTAGTATAATCGATATGAGATTAATATCTGGAATACATAAAGAATCTGCACAGTTCAAAAAGAAAATGACCCAATTTTTTTAAATGGTCAAAAGACATGAAGATAAGCATTTCAATTAAAAAATAATTATATGACTAATAAACATAAAAATATGCTTAACCTCACTAAAAATAGGGGAAATATAAATTATGAAACTAGTAAAAGAGGGTTTGATTATTGCAAGTGGTGGAAAAATGTGCACAGACAGAAATCTTACACACTCATGATGGGAGTGCAAACTGATAGAGCCATTTGGGAACATGTTGGCGTTATCAGTAAACCTGAGTATTATGTACCCTACAGACCACAAATTCCACTTTGAGAATCACACATATTCTCTAGAGAAACTTGTACTTTTGCACAAGAATATTCTATTTATAGAAGTAAAACATTGTAAACAACCCAATTATCCATCAGTAGAACAATGAGCCAATACAGTGTGGCATATTAACACAAGAAAATGTACCACAGTGAAATGAATGAACAGCTACATGTGACAACACAGATGAATCTTAGAAACATAATACTAAATTTTAAAAAGCAAATCCCCACAATGAGACACCACTTTACACTAGGACAGATATACTAAAAAAAAGACTGGTAAAATTGTGGAGGGTCCAGAATCTTCTTACACTGCTGGTGGGACTGTAAAGGGTGCTGTTGCTTTGGAAAACAGCCTGACGGTTCCTCAAAAGGTTCAACATAGAGTTGCCGTATGTGATGGTTATTTTTGCAAGTCAACTTGATTGGGCTATGGTGCCAGTTGTTTGGTCAAGCACTGGCAGAGATGTTGCTGCGAAGATATTTTCTCGATGTGATTGATATTTACAATCAGTTGAATTTAAATAATGAAGATTGTCCTCAACAATGTGGGTGGACCTCATCCAATCAGTTGAAGGCCTTAACAGCAAAAACTGAAGTCAGTAACATAATCACAAATGAAAAGAATTCTGTCATGATGGCTACTGAAAATAGTACTCTGTACCCAGGTAGTAGGATATAGTCTAACGATAAAAAGGATGCAAAAAAATATAAAATTTTACTGACAAGTTTTATAGTTTTTGAAAAGAAAGTCACATATGAGTACTAGAATTTGGAATTGTAAATTCGACATCTGAAAAAACACTGGTGGATAAAACAAAGAAATAAATGTTACTGTTATTATGGACCCAGATATTCAGTGTAAGAGAAGACTAAAGAAATAAATAAGAAAAATCCCTATAATGTTAACTTTGATTTAGAAGTATAGGTATATTTCTATCTATCAATCTATCAATCACCTACCTATCTACATCACATTCTAGCTCAGGGGTGGGCAAACTTTTTGACTCGAGGGCCACAATGGGTTCTTAAACTGGACCGGAGGGCCGGAACAAAAGCATGGATGGAGTGTTTGTGTGAACTAATATAAATTCAAAGTAAACATCATTACATAAAAGGGTACGGTCTTTTTGTTTCAATAGTTTTATTCATTTTAAACGGGCCGGATCCAGCCCGCGGGCCGTAGTTTACCCACGGCTGTTCTAGCTTCACCACTCAGAGAGTCTGGAAACAGTGACACCAGTAGCAATGAGCAGCCGTAGAGCCCAAATCTGGATTTCTAAATACCATTCCCACTAAAAGGAACCTTGGCCACTTGGAGAAATTATTGACTTCCAAGTTTGGGGCAGCCCAAGTACAAGGCAATCCTGGGGTATCTCCTATGTACCAGGAAGCAAGGATAACCTCAAAGATTAATGGTGACATACCAAAAGGGCACAAGCCAGCCTGAAGGAGTTTCACTAAAAGCATAAATGAGACTCAAATTCAAAATTATCTTGGGAAGCCGCAATGCTCAACCAAATAGACATGATGAAAACTAAGAGAGATGACTAAAGAATAGGACTCAAATTTAAAGAACCAGCTTTATAGATTCAGGATGAAGGACAATCTGATGTGGCTGTTGATCATGTGAGAAACACATGAATATTATAGAGCTGGATATGAGTCGCAAGTGAGATAAGATTACTAAAAAAGTTAATGTCGTATTTATTATAAGCAGTACTGAAGAAATTTAGGATCAAAAGTCACATGAGGTAGAAAACTTATGCTCCACCAAATGAGGCCCACTGGTTTTCAGTTTTAGGTGCCGAACATTAAGAGGGCTATGCTTGGCATAACAGCTCTTTCTCCTCCTAAAAGCAATTTCCATTTATAAATACTCCCCATGTGCCAGGCACTGAATTAGATGCTTATACATGTTTTGCCCAATTTAAACCTCACAGCCACCCAATTGAAGTGACTGTAATTATAATCCCTGTTCTACCAGTGAGGAAACTTAGGCTTCATGGCATTAACAAAGGTATAGACCTGGGTCTTAAGTCTAACAAAGGTTAGACAGCTAACAAAGGTATAGACCTGGGTCTTAAGTCTACCTAACTCCAAGTCTACAGCCAAAATGGTGGAAAGTCTGAAAAGAAAATCACATAAAAACATCGTGCAATAAAAAGAGGTTCTGAGCCTGGAAGAGATTAAGGAGACACATCACAGGTATTGTAAAATACTTAGAAAGGAAAAAAATTGTGTACAGTTTCAGAAATAATGGGTATGGCTGTAAGCAGGCAGATGACAAGCCCACTATTCAACAACAGGATGAGCTACCTTGGGAGAAGCGGCATCTGTTGGGGCTACTGCACATGTGACTGGTACAGGGAGTGGAAGTGGAGTCCATGGACTCTGCCTTGGCATGTGCTCCAACTCCAATTCAGCCTGTCACAAGCAGAACTTCGGTGAGCCTACTGATCTGCCCCACCTCTCACCTAACTCCCAAGGGCGACAGCTCTGCTCTAAGCTCACACTATACAGCTTCCTATTACATTGTGTTCCACCAGAGCCCTTTCCATCACCAAAGGGTAAGAAAAGCCCGACTGAGGGGAGAATGCAGCTGCCAAGGAAAGGAGATGCAACCAAGGCCAGAGAGGACAGCAGAGATGGACTGAAGGCCTAGGTTAAAGAGGGCACAGGTGCAGTCAACACCTTGGGTTGAAGAGATAGACTTGAGCCAAATGGGCAGCCATTTTAATTGTGGAGTAGAGCAGGCAACCAGGACTAAGCATAGCATATCGGAGAGAAAAGGCTTCAGGCAGAAATGAAATGATAAAAACCTAGCACCGAACGACTCAGCTTTGAGAAAATGTATAAGCCAGGACTGGGAATTGTCCAACTAGTTATGAGAGCCCTGAATCAAGAAGCAGTATTTCTGGTCCAGGTGGTGTGAGATGGGACTGGCAACATGAGACATGCATGGCAGATCCAGCCAGGCCCGCACAATCTAACAACACTGGTCAAGGGAAAAGACGCTACAAGCCAACCTCAAGGCCCAGTGTGTACCCTTAAAAGAAAGAATGGCACATCACTAAACATCCTGTTTCCATCCTAAACATCCATCCACAGAGCACAGAACACAATTTATGATACAGCAACACAAAGTAATAGTGGAACGTTGGTTAAAATTAATCACGTTTTAGAAACAGGCTTTGTGTATCTTAAAAGCAGGGAATACAATTATTAAGAAAAAAAAGTACCAATTCAATCCACGAGTTTATACTGACAGTGACAGGATCAACAGATTCTACATAATGCCACCAGTGTCTGGGAACAAACAGAACCTGAAAACCAAGTAAAGAATGGTTAGTACAAGTCAAGGACATTTTATTTTTATATCAGAATCACTATAAATGCCCAACTGAAGATACTAGAAAAAGAAAGTAATACAAATGAATTTACAGTAATATTGCTGTAATAAAGGAAAACAAGAAAAAAACCCACAATCCTTTCATTTCCTTTTTTATTGACAAATTCATCTGTTCTACAAAGGACACTGCCAGCTCCTCCAGTTTCTACTCTCCTTAATCCAAGACCTTATCTGTTTACATCTAGGTCTTAGTAAAGAATTCTGAGATTCTAATATTTCCTCCTTTCCATTGCAAAATAATTGCATGCATTCTGAGAAAGTGCCTAGGTAAAAAGATAGGCCATAGTTTCTGTCTCCGCACAGTCTAAAACCTAGCCAGTGGAAAAGTAGTTCACAGAAAGGTGGTATAAGTGGTGAAGTAGATGAGTGGACACTGGTGCAAGGGAACTTCAAAGGTGGGAGAAGCAGGCACAAACTAAGGTCAGGGGCATCCTGGATGGAGGAAGCGTGATTTGAACCAGGGCTGGTAGAGAGTTTAGACAGAGAAAAGGATGAGGACGTATCAGGAGGGAGAAGTGGCACAGACAAAGGAGGTGGGACTGTTGAGGCACAGCAAGTAGACAGGAGATGAGGTGGGAGAGTTAGTTGGGTGAGGGTCTGTGGAGGGCTCTGAAATCAGAACACAGAGTCTGGATTTTATCCTATTGGCACTGGGAGTGGCTGAGAAACTTTGAGTAGGGGGATGGTTAAAATAGCAACATTATGGCAGAGTGTGGGAAGGACGAGAGATTCTTGCAATAGTCTAATTATTAAATGTTAAGATCTAAATAGGAAGGTATAGTAGACAAAAGCAATGGGCAGAGTCAAGGAGAACTGTGCTTGTCCAGACTCAGTACGAGATTTCCTCGGAAGGCTGAATAGAGCACATGGAGATGCCTCAAACTTTTGGGCTTCAGATTTAGGAAGCTGGTGGCACTCACTATGGACAAGTAGAGCTGGGAGGTGGGAAGAGAGCACCTTTCAGTGGAACAGGACTAAACACAACCACTGATTCCGTCACTAGGAGGTCATGCATGTCCCATCACAGAGTATACTTTCAGTAAAGTAGGAAGAGAGAGAGCCAGTTTGTAGTGGATTAAGGAATAGCAGGATGTAAGGAAAACTGATATGATGGACAAAAACATTCATTCAAATTTGGTTATTAAAATCAAAGAAAAAATGAATTACAACCACTTTACACCCACTAGAATTTTTATAACAACAATAATATTAACAGTAAAGGGAAATAACACGTGTTGGTGAGGATGTAGAGATATTGGAACCGTCAGATGTTGCTGGTGGGAAGATATAATAAAGTAGATGGTGTGGAAAAAAGTTTGGCAGTTCCCCCAGAGTTACTAATATGACCCAGCAATTTCACTCCTATATATGTACCCAAGAGAACTGAAAACATATGCATGTACAAAACTTGTACACAAATGTGCATAGCAACATTACTTATCATTGTCCAAAAGTGGAACCAACACAAATGTCCATCAACTGATTAATGGATAAACAAAATAGATCTCCAAACAGTGAAATATATTCAGCCACAAAAAGGAATGAAGTGCTAACAACATTCTACAGCATGGATGAACCCTGAAAACATTACGCTAAGTGAAAGGAGCCAGTTCTCAAAGCTCATATGCTGTATGAGTGCACTTATGTGAAAAGTCCAGAACAGTAAATCTATAGGGAAAGAAAATAGGTAAGTGGTTGCCAGGGGCTGGGGGCAAAGGTGAAGGGGAGTAACCTCCAATGGGTGGAAGCAACTTAGTCAGACTGTTTGCTTTGGAGTTCTCAAGTATGAAGGAAGCAGGAAGGGAGCCAGGGAAAAGGGAGCAACGGAAGGAAAACAGGCAGGAGAGAGGGATAAGGGAGGGAGTAAACTCTCTGTAAGAGACTAAGAATACCTTTCAAATTGTTAATAAAACATCAGACAGCAAATGCCAGTGCTGTAAAGGTGGTTTTCCCTACTGGGCAGCAGCACTAGGTACAATACTTTTGTTAATGTTTTAGAGACAGTTACAAAAGCAACATCCATTCAATCCATTCTTGCTTAAAAGCACATCATTCTGGCTCTGTAATGCCTCTGCCCCTAGATGCACTGCAACGATATATGTCTGGGTTCTAGCACGGTTGAACAGATATGAACTGTGAATAAAGGTTCCAGAAGTGCTCAAATACCCATGCCTTGACACTTGCTCTTAATATGAAAAATGAAGAAAAAAAACGACTTAGTGAGCTGTCTTCCTCCACAGTCCATTCTCTTCTTTACCAGTAGGAGGAGCTGTGATCCCTCCTCCCATCTTTCCATGACTTGAGAAGCATGTATATGAAGTATGTATATGAAGCCTGCAGCTGGAAAAGCTACCTTCCAATAGCAGAGCACCATGGAAGAAACCCTTCTTATTTGTACTAGGGCTGTGGTCGGCAAACTGTGGCTCGCGAGCCACATGTGGCTTTTTGGCCCCTTGAGTGTGGCTCTTCCACAAAATACCATGTGCAGTCTCACGTACAGTGCGATTGAAACTTTGTGGCCCGTGCGCAGAAGTCGGTTTTCGGCCTGGGCGAGTGTATTTTGAAGAAGTACTGTTGATATTTGGCTCTGTTGACTAATGAGTTTGCCGACCACTGGACTAGGGGAAGGTGAGGAAAGCTAGAGGCATGTGTCCTAAGGCCTAGATACAAGTCCCAGCTTCCGCATTACCTGTCCTGGGCTCAGTGTAACCACATGTCTTCGAGCTTCCTGGAACCGAGGAAAACGTTTTACATCAGGATTGACAACATTGACTTTACTAAACACACTAGATTCTTCATAAGGGATTCTAGTTGGATAAAGGAAAGGAGTATCCTCAGGGGGAAAGAGATGCCATCTTTTCCTAATTTAAACAAAAGACATAAATTAGTACTGTGAACTTGAAACAAAACATGTAAGGAGGCAGCAGTAAATATTCATATTTACTCATTTTCATTTAATCCATAGAGGAATAGAGGAGCAATGTCAGTGGTCACTTGGGCCACCTCTCAGTAAGTGCTGGCATCTCTGCTGAACAGAGTGGAGGGAGGGCAGGAAGCAAAGAATAATCTCATGATGTCCTGAGGCAGCCCTTTGCTGGGACAGGGTGTAGTTTGAAAGGTCATTCTTTCTTAGCCCAAATCAAAATCCTCCAATAAATTGTTCCTATTCCTCATTCTAGAGCCATGGTCGGCAAACTGTGCTCGCAAGTCACATGCGGCTCTTTGGCCCCTTGAGTGTGGCTCTTCCACAAAATAACACATGCAGGCGCGCACGTACAGTGCAATTGAAACTTCGTGGCCAATGCGCAGAAGTCGGTATTTTGTGGAAGAGCCACCTAAGGGGCCAAAGAGCCGCATGTGGCTCACGAGCCGCAGTTTTCCGAGCCACAGTTTGCTGACCACTGTTATAGAGTAACTCAAAGCAATCCCCACCCTTTCAGATATCTGTATTCTTATCTTATCCAGAGTGACCACCTGTAGTTTTATCCTCCAAATAGTTTCCAGACTTCTTCCTGTTTGGGTTGTACATTTTTTAAGTTAAACATTTGTTATGTTAATCTATTAAGGAAGACAAATGCATAAATGATGCCACATAACTAATATAGCATAATGTAATAGAGGAGTTTTCAAAAAGAGAAAAGTGTAAGAAGTTTCAGTCACTTTAAAAATTTTTGAAAAATGGAGGTGATAAACTTTCTTACACAACACCAGACACACCCATAGTTCGAGCCAATAGAGGGAGGACATGGGAGGTAAAGGAGGAGCAAGTGTCAAAAAGGAAGAGACACAGAAATACACTGGTGGGGAAGCAAAGAGAAAAAAAGGTAGAAGAACACACCGAGTTCTGAGAAAAGCCCGAAGCCGTCTCATGACCCAATGCAGTTCCACTGGGGCCGTCATGTCCTTCAGAACTGGAAGCAGCCCTAGCTGGTTTGGCTCAGTGGATAGAGCGTCAGCCTGCAGACTGAAGGGTCCCGGGTTCGATTCTGGTCAAGGGCACATGCCTGGTTTGCAGGCTTGATCTCCAGTAGGGGACCAGGAGGCAGCCAATCAATGATTCTCTCTCATCACTGATGTTTCTATCTCTCTTTCCCTCTCCCTTCCTCTCTGAATTCAATAAAGATATATTAAAAAAAACAACAAACAACTGGGAAACAGTTGGCTGCCATTTTCAAACTAGAGAGTATACACTCAGGTCTCATTTTGCCTGAGAGATGATAAAGCTGCTCCATTCCACTGTACTATGACTAGTTTAGAAAAATGTTGGGTTTTTAGTATGATTAGAATGTTGGAAGGACTCGTAAGAGATCATCAGTCTAATTTCACTTGCAAAGTAGTGGAAGAGGGACCCAGCACTTGCTTGGGTCTTCCACTGGGCTAGTGTTAACACATTGTATGCGGGTAGTTTTCATCAGGCGCTAACAGGTGGCACGTGGCGCGGGCCATTTTTGCTAATTTTTTTGCACAAATGGCAACGTTCAGTAAAATTATGATAACTTTAGTTTACGTATTTATACATTACCCGCATTCTACCGCTACTCTATAAAAAAAACGTATTAATACGTGTCCTGCTCTCTACTTACTCCCAGTCAACGTAAAACGTATAAATACATTTCCCACATTCAATGTGTTAATGGTAGGGCCAGAGCTAGGTCACAGCTCTCCTGACCTCTCCAGGTACCAGCTCCTACCTCTGCCCCATAGCTGTGGTTCCCAAAGGAAGAGCGATAATGATAACCAGGCCATACAATTTGCTTGGCTTGGCTTAAAGTGTAACATATATGCATCCGTCTTTTGCTAATCAGAAAGCATAGTCAATCCGTATGTCAAACCCTGCTCAAAAAGCCCTCATGGTTCGGCATGCTGAAAGAACAGAGAATAAGCAGTGTTTGCCTGGGAGGCAAGACCCTTATGACCCTTTCTGCTTTTACTTCTGTGCTGCCCTATAAAAGCCCTGAAAGGCCAGGAGAAGAGACTGGGGAGTCATTAATTAGGGAGAAATAAGGCTGCACATACAACAGCCAGAGTACATCTCCAAACCGGCAGGAACACTTACATTCCTACATAACTCCTAGAACCAGGGGCTATCAAAAGTATTACCTGACTTAGCTCTTATGTCTCTTAGGGTCCACAGATAGGTGAAGATACAAAACTGACCCAAGTTTAAAAAAAATACTGCCTTGTGTCTACAGGTAGGCACAAACTAAAACTTAGAGTTGAAAGAGGCAGTTCTGGTCCAGCAGTTCTCCTCAGGGGCCCGGGGGTGGCAGCAGTCTCTTCCTTTCGACAAACTGCTCTGCTCTTACTTGTTTAGGCTTGAAGGAAAGGTGTTCCTGCTTTTAAATAGAAGTTTAAAAATTATGCAGACTCTGATGTAAAAGAGTAAGCAGAGCACTATCTCACTGAACTGAGATTCTAGGATCAGCTTTCTGTTGTTGTTAATCCTCACCAGAGGATATTTTTTCATTGATGTTTAGGTAGAGTGGAAGAAAGAGGGAAAGACAGAGAGAGAACAAAGAAGGAAACAACCAGAGGTCAAGAGATCCGCCTTGGTCATGAGGCAGGCTGACAGGATGGGGCTGGAACTAAAACCTTGGGGTCCTACCGCCCGTTTCGTACTGGTTCCTCTTCCTGTGCAACATACAGAGATACACTAGGCACGCAGACACACACACTCTCATGCATGGGCCTGTGTGTTACCTTCCTTGCACCTGGAATACCAAGTTGCAACCATATGAATCCAGATGACAGGGTGTGTGAGCCCCCAGGGAGCCAATCCACAATGTACTTTCCCGTCCATTTCTTCCACGAAACCCGAAGTCAGACCATATCACATCCTGTTTTGAAAATAAAGTTATAGTCCATTAAGAATCAACCAATTCCTTTGTATGGTAGTGTTGCACATTAGTCTGACATAAACCCAAACCCATGGAATTAAAAAATATATATAAGCTAGAAGAGAGCAAACTAGTGAACCAGCTTGCAGGTTTGGTTTTATACATTTTTTTCAATCATAATTATTTCCTACTGAGTTTAAGAAAACAAGAAAAAACACTTCCATGCGCAGAACATAGTCCTACATGCTGACACTTTTTTTATCAGTTTCTTCAATCTATATTTTCTATTTTTAGAGGCAAATCATTAACAGCTGTATTCAGAGAAAGAATATTTTGGAAAGACATTTAATGGATGGTTTTGAGGAAGATTAGAATGAGCATTTCCATTTTTGTTCTGAGTGATGAAAATAGCGGAACATGTGAACATAACTAAGGTCTGTTACAGAAGGGGGAATTTTCGCAAGGTCAGCACCACTGTAAATGCCTATGGCTCACGTGCAGCCACTCCAGGGAGTGGCAAAAGTCATGTGTCTTCTGGATATAGCCCATATGCTCCACGCAGTGACTCAGCTCTGCATTCCCAGAGTCTAAAATTACACCTGCCTCAGGGTGAGTGCTCATAACACTGGCTGCTTGGGAAGGAGAGAAGAATCTGTGGCCTGATTATGGGTAAATGGTTCAGGCCAGGAACATTTTAAAGCATCTATCACATAGTTGGTATGACACTGGGTGTTTGGGATATAAAAATTAATGCAACTCAGGCCCAGCCTTCAAATCTAATAAAGAAAGATAGTCCCATAAGTGGAACCTTTCACTATAATGTGGCAGATGCTCTGACAGAAGTGAGCAGATAACCAAAGAAGGACGCCTGGTCGCCAGCAGGGAGCTTGGGGAAGGCTGCCAATGAACCTGGGTCCCTGTTGAACAAGTCACCACACCTCAGCCTGGAATTTAGCTAAAGGCAGCTTAAAGACATGCAGTATAAAAACAAAAAGCAGGGGTTTGCCTTAGCTAAGAAGCAGCTGGTTTAAGTGATTCTTAATCTTCTTCTAGATACACTCCCTTGGGAATCTAATGAATGCCAACGCCCCTATCCACAGAGAAATGCAAGCACACACAAAATTTCTTATGCTTTGTGGGAGTCGAAGCACTGACTGCAGGTGAGAAGCTCTGTTCCACAGCATTGCTTCAGAAAGAACCACAGAAAAAAGGTTTTCTACAGGATGGGGGTTGAGGGGAATCTGAGTTAATATATGAGAAACTGACAAGAGGTTTCCCTGACCTCTTATCTTCCACAATAATGACTAAAAAAGGGAAAATGTTTGGGAATGATTAGATCAAGGTGACCTAAACTACCTAAAATTTCAGCAGCATATTGGCTGGGAAACACCAGAGGAGGAAGAGTTGGGGAGGTGGGCGATGGGGTTGCAGAGAAAGTGTGAATCAAAGTAAATTTGTCAGGAAACGGACAGCATTTTGTTTCTTTTCCCACAGGCTCTTGAGAGTTGGGCCTTTCTTACCAATCGAGTTCAGCTACTTACAGGTAGACAAATGTCTGAAATCAATATAGGCCCAGGAGGAATCAGCCTCAAGTCTTGCTAAAAACAAGTGACCCTGTTAGGTCACAACATCAGTGAAACCAACACAGGGGATTGATGGGGTGATCCACCCTGGAATCTATTCTCGCATACACCTCAAGCACTGGAGAAGTCTTTTTTTTTTTTCTAATATATTTTTTTATTGATTTCAAAGAGGAAGGGAAAGGGAGAGAGAGACAGAAACATAAATGATGAGAGAGAATAACTGATTGGCTGCCTCTTGCACGCCTCCTCTGGGGATCAAGCCCACAACCCAGACATGTGCCCTGACTGGGAATCGAACCATAATCTCCTGGTTCATAGATTGACATTCAACCACTGAGCCATGCCAATCGGGCCAGAGAAGTCTTTAGAAATCATCTATATCCAGAAAATCTTTATTGTTGAAAGTATTACATATGTCCCCTTTTTCCCCTTGGACCTCTTACTTAACAATAAATACTATGTAAAACTTATAAAGAATAAATACTTCAATTTAAATTTCAAACAACCCTTAAATGGACATTACAAATTAGCAAGTACTTAAGGCTCTGTTTTTCCGTAGGAAATTACCTTAAGAACATAAACAGAAAACAGGTAGGCTTGGATAAACACCCAAATTCTTACATTCCAATTTGTTTCATCAGAAAGCATTGCTGGCCGTCAAACAAATCCCTTTAAATCATTACTAAACCGTCTGGTTCAATTTCAACATACTCTCATAACTATGTTATACAGTAAAGTCCAAGACAGTTAGATAGAACTAATCTTCCATGTATTGCATTTTGGGATTCTGTGTCCTGGTGACTTAACAAACTTCCTGACTCTCAATAGCTAATCTGAATCACAACATAACATGGAACCTACCTGAAAAACATTCTAGGGGCAAAATCCCTTTTGCTATATATTGATTCTTAATAGCTTCAATTGTGATGATACTTATTGATAATTATAAAAGGTAACACACCTGTCATTCTTACCTAATGAATCAGAGGTAAAGAAATTTTATATGGTAATGTCACAAATTCCCTATCTTCCTTGGGAAGTAGAACACAAAATGTTTCAAATAAATGCTTTACTTAGATTAGTCAATGATATGATACATAACTAAAAATTAGTGAGACTTATTAATTTCATTTTCCACTCATGAAAGTCAGTTAAGTGTCAATATCCTAATTTTGATCACCGGACATTTTCCAATAATCCTATATAATAAAAGAGAAACATGGTAATTAACCGTAACTTCGATACCCTTCCCATTGGCTAATCAGGGCAATATGCAAATAACTGCCAACCAAGATGGCGGCCGGCTACCAGGCAGCTGAAGTGAACAGGAGGCTTGCTTGCTCCAGTGACGGAGGAAGCCAAGGTTCCCCGCCTGCCTTGCCGGCCTCTGAGCTGGCTCTCTAAGAAACATTGTTGCAAATATAGAAGCTAAACAAAACCCCAGAAACCTGCTTTCAGCCGTCAGAGCTGGAGCGAGCAGGACCGAAACAGTGTTACAATTATAGAACCCAAACAAACCCAGATCCCTGCTTTCAGCAGCCGAGGCCTCAGAGCTGGAGCCAAGCCTCAGAGCTAATGCCGGCTCTCAGCTCCAGTGACAGCTATAGAAGGTAAATAAATCCCAGAATAAAAAGAAAAAAGAAAAAAGGAGAGGTCCCTCACCCAGACTGGCCAGGCACCCCAGTGGGGACCCCCACCCTGAAGGGGGTGTGACCAGCTGCAAACAGCCATCATCCCCTCATCCAGGCTGGCCAGGCACCCCAGTGGGGACCCTCACCCTGAAGGAGGTGTGACCAGCTGCAAACAGCCATCATCCTCTCATCCAGGCTGGCCAGGCAACCCAGTGGGGACCCCCACCCTGATCCAGGACACCCTTCAGGGCAAACCAGCCGGCCCCCACCCGTGCACCAGGCCTCTAACCTATATAGTAAAAGGGTAATATGCCTCCCAGGCACCCAAGCGGGACCCCCAACCTGATCCGGGACACCCTTCAGGGCAAACCAGCCGGCCCCCACCCATGCACCAGGCCTCTATCCTATATAGTAAAAGGGTAATATGCCTCCCAGAACCGGGATCAGCAGAGCCGCGAGGCCTCCCGAACCCAGGATCAGCGGAGCCTCGAGGCCTGCTGGCAGTGGGATCAGCAGAGCTGCGAGGCCTCACTGCCCCGGTGTCAAGAGGAGCCGTGAGGCCTCCTGGCCCCTGGAGCAGCGTGACAGGGGGCAGCGCCCAAACCCCCTGATCGCCCTGCGGCTCTGTGTGTGACGGGGGTGGGGCCACAACCTCCCTATTCGCCCTGCCCTGTTCCTGACAGGGGAAGGCGCGCCAACCCCCTGATTGGCCCTGCTCTGTGCCTGATATGGGGGAGCTCCCCAACTCCCTGATTGGCCCTGCTCTGTGTGTGACAGGGGAAGGCGCCCCAACCCCCCATGGGCCCTGCTGTGTGTGTGATGGGGTAGAGCCGCAACTTCCCCATCGGCCCTGCCCTGAGTGTGACAGCAGTGGCGCCCCAACCCCCTGATCGGCCCTGCTCTGTGTGTGACAGGGGGCGGCGCCCCAACTCCCTGATCAGCCCTGCTCTGTGGGTGACAGGGGGCGGTGCCCCAACTCCCCTATCAGCCCTACTCTGTGCATGACAGGGGGGAGCTCCCCAACTCCCTGATCCGCCCTACTCTGTGTGTGATGGGGGGAGCTCCCCAACCCCCTGATGGGCCCTGCTCTGTGCATGACAGGGTATGGAGCCCCAACCCCCCTAATGGGCCCTGCTCTGTGCGTGACAGGGGGTGGCGCCGCAACCTCCCCATCGACCCTGCCTTGAGTGTGACAGGGGGCGGTGCCTCAACCCCCCAATCGGCCCTACCCTGAGCGTGACTGGGGGTGGCATCGCAACCTCCCGATCCGCCCTGCTCTGTGCATGACAGGGGGCGGCGCCCCAACTCCCCAATCAGCCCTGCTCTGAGCCCGACCAGGGGCTGCACCTAGGGATTGGGCCTACCCTCTGCCACCCGGGAGCGGGCCTAAGCCAGCAGGTCGTTATCTCCCGAGGGGTCCCAGACTGTGAGAGGGCACAAGTGGGGCTGAGGGACACCCCCCGCCCCACCAGTGCACATATTTTTGTGCACCGGGCCTCTAGTATTAGTATATTTGCCAGCGTATTTAACAGTATGTATATTGCATGTTTATCAGTGGATGATTTTAATTTGTGAAATAACATGGTTAACACATGGAAACTTTAAGTAGAGCTAAGTAAAAACTTATACAACTAATGGAAGGCTGAAGAGAGCTAAGAATTTCGTATCAAGATTAACAAATGCTATAATTGACTAACTAGAAGCCACAGAAAATTTGACAAGGGTGAAGCTAGGGGTTTAAGTTAAAACATTCTTTGAAGGGCCCTAAAGACCGAAGAAATATCAA